TTGTTCATTGATTTCACCTGTGTTAGTTACTCACCTGGTCTCATCAGCTCCTTATTTAGTTAAGTTCTTTCTGTTTGTGCCTTGTGAGGTATTGTTCATTTTGACTCTACTAAGCCTTTTCCTAGCTTGTTTGTGAGAACCAGTTATAGCCTTCAGTCCTAGTTTTTGATTCTCCTGCCTGTTTGCCTACCTGTGTATGACTACTGCCTGCCTGTGACCACGATTCCTGCCTTTTGCGAAGGCGAAATAAACACCTGCCGCGCTCTGCGCGTGAATTTACACCTTTTTCTCCCTGAGTATTCATTACAATGTGCTTGTGATTTGAAACAATGCACAACCATTTGTTTTTAAAGAAGCAAATGATCCTCTGTGGCTAAGGCATTCTCTCTGGTTAATTATTTTTGAATTATTTTATTTAGACAGGAGTAATTAGTATGACAATCCATACTCTTTTTGTCCAGATAGCATCAGATACATGGTCTAAACATACTGAGAAAGAGGGTTTCATTCGCTTCTTTCTGTCGGGATGCTTCTATGTCAAATAAATGATCAATATTTCAAAATGTTATTTGGAGGGACAAGGAGGTACCGTTGGGCAGGCCAGGCCCCCTAAGGCCCGCCCATAAATGCCTAACCTTGCTTTAGTATTGTGCTATAGGTCGTTGTTCATTTACATCGCCACAGAGTGGCGCTAATGCCTCATATTTGGAACATAGGCCTGGACTGTAAAGGATTGGAAATGGAACGATGCTGCTCTCTCCTGGCTCTTCCAGCGAAGTGCAGAGGCCTCCTCTGTTCTATGCTCATTGTCACGCCGATAATGAATCATTGCATGAACAATTTTTTGCCTATATTGTGGGACCCACATACAATAAACATATTGTAACTATCTTTCAAAAGCACAAACAAGTTGAGTCTGCCGTCAATCAAACAAACAATCATTCAAAAGGGAGACTTCACTCAATGACACTACAAACAAATGTATAATAGCATACACATGGTCTATACCTATCCTTTAACTAATGTTCAAAGCCACAAACAGTTGTTTATGCTTACATTTACCTCACATCTGTCTGTTGCTGTCCTTGATGCTGACATCAGTAAAGCTTAACAGTACACTCCATCCATCCATCACCTATCCATCATCTCTCCATCCATCCACCCATCCATCAAGCAGAAGGGAGACTTTGTGCACAGTTTAGATTGACATTTTAATAATAAATAAATATCACACAGAAAAAAAAAAAAAACATTGTCTTGTGGATGATTGAGATAGTCAAAACATGAGAAAACATGAGAAGTGTCATTGACAAACATTCACAAGTAAATGGTATGAAAACCGGTGATTGATTGATTGTAATGTAAGGGAATAATAACACAAAATATCTCTAGCTCTGGACCAGGGCATTATGCTGTTTTTATGACAAGTGGGAAACTTGGAAAATACTACTTGTAAACTGGGAGCAACAAGTTGTGTGCATTTACATGCTTTGAACTCGTTGAGAATGCCGATTGGCGAATGGCAAACAAGCTGCGTCAACCATAAACTAAAAGTACAGCTATCATGCTCGTAAACAAATTATAGTGTTCAAAAACCATCTAAATATATATTTTTAAAAATAAATTATGTTTTCTATTTGCATTTAACTGCTAAAAATGCTGTTATCAAGGTCATTTCCTTAGTAGGTGACATCAGAGTTCAGCATGTGGGAGATGTCGTGGGCACAGGGATGATAGATGAGTTTCCCACTAGTAATTACAAGTTGGAGGGGGTTTCAACTGGAATTTTCCCATTTGTATGCTCATAGTTAAGAGATGTCATAAACCCAGCATTAGTGTGGCTTGCTAACGCTGAGAAGGGAAAGCTCAGTGCTAGCAAGAAGCACTAATGCCCATGACCAGAAACAGCTACAGTTGAAGTCGGAAGTTTACATACACTTAGGTTGGAGTCATTCAAACTTGTTTTTCAACCACTCCACAAATGTCTTATTAACAAACGATGGTTTTGGCAAGTTGGTTAGGATATCTACTTTGTGCATAACACAAGTAATTTTTCCAGCAATTGTTTACAGACAGATTATTTCACATATAATTCACTGTATCACAATTCCAGTGGGTCAGAAGTTTACATACACTAAGTTGACTGTGCCTTTAAACAGCTTGGAAAATTCCAGAAAATGATGTCATGACTTTAGAAACTTCGGAAAGGCTAATTGACATCATTTGAGCGAATTGGAGGTAATTCAAGGCCTACCTTCAAACTCAGTGCCTCTTTGCTTGACATCATGGGAAAATCAAAACAAATCAGCCAAGACCTCAGAAAAAAAAGTTGTAGACCTCCACATGTCTGGTTCATCCTTGGGAGCAATTTCCAAACGCCTGAAGGTACCACGCTCATCTGTACAAACAATAGTACGCCAGTACAAACACCATGGGACCACGCAGCCGTCATACCGCTCAGGAAGGAGACGCGTTCTATCTCCTAGAGATGAACGTACTTTGGTGCGAAAAGTGCAAATCAATCCCAGAACAACAGCAAAGGACCTTGTGAAGATGCTGGAGGAAACAGGTACAAAAGTATCTACTGTATATCCACAGTAAAACCTGAAAGGCCGCTCAGCAAGGAAGAAGCCACTGCTCCAACACCGCCATAAAAAAAGCCAGACTACGGTTTGCTACTGCACATGGGGACAAAGATCTTTTTGGAGAAATGTCCTCTGGTCTGATGAAACAAAAATAGAACTGCTTGGCCATAATGACCATCGTTATGTTTGGAGGAAAAAGGGGGCCGCTTGCAAGCCGAAGAACACCATCCCAACCGTGAAGCACGGGGTGGCAGCATCATGCTGTGGGGGTGCTTTGCTGCAGGAGGCTGGTTCACTTCACAAAATAGATGGCATCATGAGGAAGGAAAATTATGTGGAGATATTGAAGCAACATCTCAAGACATCAGTCAGGAAGTTAAAGCTTGGTCGCAAATGGGTCTTCCAAATGGACAATGACCCCAAGCATACTTCCAAAGTTGTGGCAAAATGGCTTAAGGACAACAAAGTCTAGGTATTGGAGTGGCCATCACAAAGCCCTGACCTCAATCCTATAGAACATTTGTGGGCAGAACTGAAAAAGCTTGTGCGAGCAAGGAGGCCTACAAACCTGACTCAGTTACACCAGTTCTGTCAGGAGGAATGGGCCAAAATTCACCCGACTTATTGTGGGAAGCTTGTGGAAGGCTACCCGAAACGTTTGACCCAAGTTAAACAATTTAAAGGCAATGCTACCAAATACTAATTGAGTGTATGTAAACTTCTGACCCACTGGGAATGTGATGAAATAAATAAAAGCTGAAATAAATAATTCTCTCTACTATTAATCTGACATTTCACATTCTTAAAATAAAGTGGTGATCCTAACTGACCTAAGGGAAGTTTTACTAGGATTAAATGTCAGGAATTGTGAAAAACTGTGTTTAAATGTATTTGGCTAAGGTGTATGTTAATTTCCGACTTCAACTGTATATCTTACACACACACAGTTACGGCTAACATATACAGCTTAAAATACAAATACATTGTTCCTCAATCGGAAAGCAAACTGATTTTTTGGATCAGGCACCCGTCCTCTCTGCAGTCCTTTTATTCTTTTAGTTTAATGTTTTTGTCAGACTTTATGTCAAACATGACAATGGGCCTGTAGCAACCCACCCTTTCAACCCAAAATACTTATTTTCAACGTCATGTACTCATAGTGGTTAACCTCTGCATTTTGTCTGATAAAAGCTTCAACATTCCTAGCGATCGCTTAGGCCTTCTGTTCGATCTTCCTTATGGAAGAGAGAGAACTTGACATAGTGAGTGAGTTGATACGTTTTTGACCTTTGAACTGTGACCTGTGTAGAGGGTTCAGAGGTTTTCATATATACATTCATTCAGGTGCTCTGGTGTTTTCGTTATGGTTGTGGCAGTGTTTGGGTATGGTTGTAGGAATAACCTTCAGGGTCAGAGTGGGATATACTACAGGATTACTAACATACTGTACATTTGGTTTGTTCTATGATAGGGTTATAGACTATGGTTATGATTGAATTATGGCCATAGCTATGGTTGTAAAGATGGCAGAGGTGGGATTATGTTCTGGTCAAGTTAGGTTGGCTGTGTGGGACAAAAGCCTGCACACACTGCAGCCCTCCGGGACCTGTATTGCTGTTCATCCTTAACTTGACTGTGTTCTGATCTTCTCGAGGAATGCTGTGTGAATCTGTGTGAGGTAATACATTATGATGTGTGAGAGAGATCCACTGTACTTGGACCAGTGTTTCCAACCGCTTCGTTCACCAACCCTCTTGAAAATGATTTATTTCATGCATTCATACATGCACCACCAGGTGGAGCTGTGACACTATCATTGGGGCTATAGTGTGTTCAGTTACATTCCTTTCTCCATTCAACATGACTATTCTACCTAGTAACCATTATAGGCCTTTTTATACACACCTGCAGAGCTCGATTCAGACCTGTTGTATTGTTATGTAGTGTCCTAACCAGTTATAACCAGTTATAACATGGTGCTGAACTGTTACTAAGATCCTAATACAGTTGAGTTTGGGTGTATTTTAAGTCTTGAGCCTCTCTCTGTTCAGACTTGTTCATGGCTTCTTCTTCGGTGGGTTTCTAGATCGAAACAGTACATGTCTATTACATCCAGATCAAGATGAGTCCTTCCCATAGAGCTGGATAGAGGGCTCTTGTGCCACAATGCCAGCTTTAACATGGACAGTGTCACTGAGGGCTTCCCATTGTATAGATAAGAGATGGGCACTCTAGTATCTCTATGGTCCTTCCTTGGCCCTGTGCTCTGTGGATGTGTCCACTGTCTCTCTATAAAACAAACCCAGTATCGTCCCCCTCTCTTGCACGCATCACAATAGATGTCCATTCCGTCCGTCCATCGTTAGCCAATGAGACGCAGCGCTGGCGTAATTCAATTAACCAATCAACCAATCAGACGCTGCTGGTGCGCTCCATGTGGGTGTGGCAGAAGCTGTCGACAGAAAGCTTCAGCTCCGACATTCCGGGTTTTAATTCCGACATTATCCCAGGACATTCCATCTCCATCCCCATCCTGTCATCTGTGGGGTCGTCAGGCTCCACCCCTCTGTTCATCCCATACCCATCCGCCCGGGCCCCTCCACCACCATTCCGACAGTTACTATTCCGGTCCACACTTCCCATCTTCCCATTCCCACCATTATGTCCAAATATGGGTGTGACGGCATGTGACGGACACTGCATCGTCGTAACTGCAAGCGACTTACTACTAACTCCGGCGTTTGGCCCTGTGTTATACTGACAACGCATATAGCTGGAAAACGCCCTTCTATATGTCTTGTTAAACAACGTATACACTAAAGGGTTAACTCCGGAGGATATATATCCCACCCATACGAAGACGTTGAGGAGTTCGGCCAATAGCGGCTCGTTGCATGAACCCTGGCAGAGGACGTATGTGACGTTGGTGATGAAAAAAGGACACCACATGATCAGGAAGAGGAAGAACACGATCCCCAGCACCTAGAGAATAGGACAGAGAACATAGAACACATTAGAACAGATTAGATTAGAGAACACAATCCTCAGAACCTAGAACATAGAACAGAGTAGAATAGACAACATAGAACAAGATTAGTGTGTATAAAAGGTTATGGAATGCAATAGAACAGAATGGAAAGGAATGAAATGGAAGAGACTAGAAGCGAAGGAGACGAGAACAGAAAATAAGCTCATAGATGTGTAAAGTTGGTCCTCACCTTGGAGGCCCGCCTCTCGTTCTTGATGGCCTGTATCATCCCCCGTCTCCCGATACTGTCCCGTGGATCTCGCCCCGTCGGCGAGCTCAGCTGTGACACCACCTCAGAACTTGGAATTATGCTAATGATCTCTGAGGGGGAGGTGCTTAGGAGGCTGGTCTGCCGGACATGCTCTGCCCCTTTCAGGCATTTCAGACTCCCTTGTCTGCTAGGAGGAGGAGCCTCAATGTTTATGGGCGGGACTTGGACGTTTGGGGCCGGGGATCGGTGGTTTGAGGGAGTGGGCGGTGCCTGTAGTGGCTGATGGGAGGGAGTCTTCCCCTCGTAGAGGAAGACGGTTGCCTGGCACTGGAGGACCTGGAGAAAGACAGACAGGATGTGATATTACAGTGGTCAAATTTTGTCCTACTGTTCTTATGTCTTATGTCTGTGTTTGCTATGTGTATGAGCACATGCTTTTTAAGCCGAAGACACATTTCCATTCCTATCAAAAAGGGACAATAACGTTTTGGAAATTGAAGAAATACATTTCTGGCAAATCAAAACAATGACAACACTATCTTAGTGGTTGTAGCCGACAAAGTTGGGCCTGTGTTATATTTCCTCTCTGACAGACCAATGAGATTCAATCAGAGGTGGGACAAATACATGGCTAGCCAATCAAAAGACAGAACATTAAATGGCTAACCAATCAAAACACTCTCTGACAGACCTGTATGGTTAGGTAGTAGGATACCACCATGATGACCAATGGGATGAAGAAGGCCACGAACGAGCCAATCAGCATGAAACGCTCCTCGTTGAGGACACAGCTTCCGTCAACAAACACCTTGTCCTTGTTATGGAGGCCGATGACAGGGATAGGCATTGACACTCCTAGTAGAAGGAGAGAGAGAAAGAGAATGAGATTAGACAAGAAGATAGATAGATCAGAGAGAGACAGATAAAGGCATTGTCCTTGTAAAGGCTGATGACCGGGATAGGATTGGACACTCCTAAGATAGAGGGAGAGAAAGAAAGAGAGGGATGAGATAGGAGAAAAGTAGGGAAGGAGGGAGGGGAGAGAAAGAAAAGGGGGTTTGAGAGAAGGAGAGACAGATGAAGACTTTATCCTTGTTGTGGATGCTGATTAATGTTTTAGGCATGGACACTCCTTAGAGAAGGAGAGAGATAAATAAAAGGATGTGGCGAGGAGAGAGATTAAGAAATTGTCCTTGTTGTGGAGGCCGATGACTAGATATGGATGAAAAAATAGAACGAGCGAGAGAAAATAGGGATGAGAGAAGGAAATAAAAAGAGAGGAGTGGGAGGGAGGAGTGTGATGAAGACCTAATAACCATCATTAAATGTAGAGAGAAGGATGAAAGAAGAATACAGAGAGAGAAGCGAGAGAAAGAAAAAGGATAGAGAGAGAGACAGAAAGAAAGAGAGAGAGAGAGAGAGAGAGAGAAAGAAAGGAAGAGAGAGAGAGAGAGAGAGAGAGAGAGAGAGAGAGAGAGAGAGAGAGAGAGAGAGAGAGAGAGAGAGAGAGAGAGAGAGAGAGAGAGAGAGAGAGAGACTAACAGACAGACAAAGACAGAGAAAATAGTAATTCCACGCATCCCTCTAATCCAGTGGTGTCAAATTTATTTTGCCCCGGGGGCTGAATTCGGTCTTCCACGAGGTCCGTCTATATTAGCAAAAACTGGTATATTTAAGCTTTCATTTAGGTGATTATTAACAAGCAGTCAAGAAACTGCATTCGGAAAGTATTCAGACCCCTTGACTTCTTCCACATTTTGTTACATTACATTTTGTTACATTATTTTCCTCATCAATCTACACACAATACCCCACAATGACAAAGAGAAAACAGGTTTTTAGACATTTTGCAAATGTATTAAAAATAAAAAACAGAAATACCTCATTTACATAAGTATTCAGAACCTTTGCTATGAGACTCAAAATTGAGCTCAGGTGCATCCTGTCTCCATTGATCATCCTTGAGATATTTCTACAACTTGAATGGAGTCCACCTGTGGTAAATTCAATTGATTGGACATGATTTGGAAAGGCACACACCTGTCTATATAAGGTCCCACAGTTGACAGTGCATGTCAGAGCCAAAATCAAGCCATGAGGTCGAAGGAATTGTCCGTAGAGCTCAGAGACAGGATTGTGTCGAGGCACAGATCTGGGGAAGGATACCAAAAAATGTCTGCAGCATTGAAGGTCCCCAAGAACACAGTGGCCTCCACCATTCTTAAATGGAAGAAGTTTGAACCACCAACACTGTTCTTAGAGCTGGCCACCCGGCCAAACTGAGCAATCGGGGGAGAAGGGCCTTGGTCAGGGAGATGACCAAGAACCCGATGGTCACTCTGACAGAGCTCCAGAGTTCCTCTGTGAAGATGGGAGAACCATCTCTGCAGCACTCCACCAATCAGGTCTTTATGGTAGAGTGGCCAGACGGAAGGCACCTAAAGGACTCTCAGACCATGAGAAACAAGATTCTTTGGTCTGATGAAAGCAAGATTTAACTCTTTGGCCTGAATGCCAAGCGTCACGTCTGGAGGAAACCTGGAACCATCCCTACGGTGAAGCATGGTGGTGGCAGTATCATGCTGTGGGGATGTTTTTCAGCGGCAGGGACTGTGAGACTAGTCAGGATCGAAGGAAATAGAGAAGGAGCAAAGTACAGAGAGATTCTTGATGAAAACCGTCTCCAGAGCGCTCAAGACCTCAGACTGGGGCAAAGGTTCACCTTCCAACAGGACAACGACCCTAAGCACACAGCCAAGACAACACAGGAGTAGCTTCGGGACAAGTCTCTGAATGTCCTTGAGTGGCCCAGCCAGAGCCCGGACATGAAACTAATCTAACATCTCTGGAGAGACCTGAAAATAGCGGTGCAGCAACGCTCCCCATCCAACCTGACAGAACTTGAGAGGATCTGCAGAGAAGAATGGGAGAAACTCCCCAAATACAGGTGTGCCAAGCTTGTAGCATCATACTGAAGAAGACTCGAGGCTGTAATCGCTGCATAAGGTGCTTCAACAAAATACTGAGTAAAGAGTCTGAATACTTAAGTAAATGTGATATTTCCGTTTTCTATTTTAAATACATTTGCAAACATTTCTTAAAACCTGTTTTTGCTTTGTCATTATGGGTTATTGTGTTTAGATTGATGAAAAAACAAACAATTTAATCCATTTTAGAATAAGGCTGTAACGTAACAAAATGTAGAAAAGGTCAAGGGGTCTGAATACTTTCTGAATGCACTGTATTATATATATTTTTTTACTCCCCAGAACTTTCCTCAGTGCTCACACAAAAAAAAGGAAAACAATTGCCCAGCACTGGGCACAAACTCGTGATGCTCAGAGCCGGAGTGCGCTGCTTAGACCACTGCGCCACCACGGTTCACAATACCCTGGCAAGCCGTGAGAATACTTGATGACTGTCTACCAGACCAATTGACATTACTTATCTTTCCATCCTCAAAGAGAGAAGGGGAGAGAGACAGAGAGAGAGAGAGAGAGAGAGAAAGAGAGAGAATCCTGTCTGTGTCAGTCTCACACAGTTGTGGAATACCACCATGCTTTACAAAGAGAGAGGGAGGGAGAGAGAGAGGGAGGGAAAGAGAGAGGGAGGGATAAACAGCTAAATAGCCAGGAGGTCTAGATGAGTAGGCAGAAAAAGAGGAATTAACAAAGTCTCCTTCTGCCACTATTCATCAACATTTCCTAAAGGAGTACTCTGTGTGTGTGTGTGTGTGTGTGTGTGTGTGTGTGTGTGTGTGTGTGTGTGTGTGACGCATGCACCCACACATCCCCTCACTTACCTATAGATATGGTCCATACAGCTGCTATCTTCATCATAGCTTTAGTTCTGGAGTTGAAGCGGCTGTGCTCAATAGGATTTCTTATGGCCACATATCGATCCAGAGATATAGCACACAGGTGCATTATACTGGCTGTAGAGAAGAGAACATCCAGGTAGATCCAGATAGGACACAATGCACTGGGCAGGGGCCACGCATAGTCTGGAAGGGGGGGGAGGCAGGTTAGATATATACAGGTAGATCCAGATAGAACACACACAGCCCAGCTAGCACATTTGCTTCATTGGAAGTTGTGGGAACGTATGATTTTGGTTACACATTTGTTATGGGAACAAAGCCATACGTTTCCTGACCTGTAAAACTGAATGTTTTTTAAACCTTCTGAGAACAGAAGTGAACATTAGACGTGTTCTGGGAACGTTGATTTTTAGGTTGCAGGGAGGTTCTGAGAATGTTTTACTCTGGTTAATTGATCGTTTTCCTGGGTGGTTATATTAATCCTCTGAGAACGGAAATTATAGGTTTCTGAATAACTTTCTTAAAACTTTTACTGGATGTTTCAATAAGACTTTTAAAAACACTGCTAGCTTATTTTGGGTTCACTTTTTTAAACCAAGCACAGAAGGGACACATTAAAAGTAATTTCTTTAGGCATTAATCATGCCAACACATTTAGTCTTTATTGTGACACAGCATCAGTGAGATTCAAACCTATAATCTTCTGTTCTCTATCCTTGGAATTAGTCCACTGCGCCACCAGGATGGAGCTAGCATGCCATGTTGTGTATGTATACAAAGCTGTTCAATTTAGTCTATTCAAACAGAACCCATTTCAAAGGAAACAAGCACTCATTAAGGTCAGGTGTGGCCAATTAGTGGGCGCGGCCAACACACCTGAACAGACAGATAGAGGGTAGAGAAAGTTTTGTTGATGCTGAGAACGTAATGTATGTGTTTTTAAATAATATTCTTAGAACTTTCTCTGAACGTTACAAAAGTCTTCTTGTGGTTTTTATGGAAAGTTTTCTTAATGTTCTTGGAACAATTTGAGAACAGGACTTTAGATAGAACCATGAGGAAACATGTAGGAAACGTTATGTTGAAGTTGTGAAATTCCCACAGAAGAACATTGTTTCTTAATGTTCTTAGAACAATTTGAGAATATGACTAAATAGAACCATGAGGAAACCTGTGGGAAACATTATGATGAAGTAGTGAAATTCCCATAGAAGAAAGTTGTTTCTTATCATTATTGGAACAATTTGAGTATTATTTTAAATAGAACCATGAGGAAACCTATAGGAAATGAGAGAGAGAGAGAGAGAGAGAGAGAGAGAGAGAGAGAGAGAGACAGAGACAGACAGACAGACAGACAGAGACAGAGAGACAGAGACAGAGACACAGAGACAGAGAGAGACAGCGAGAGAGGCAGGTTTGATATATACAGGTCAATCCAGATAGAACACAGCACACTGGGCAGCAGCCACTCATATCAGGCAGAGAGAGAGAGAGAGAGAGGCAGGTTAGATATATACAGGTAGATCCAAATAGGACACAGAGCACTGGGCAGGCGCCACACATAGTCTGGAGAGAGAGAGATAGTGGATAGGAGGGGGAGAGAGAGAAGTGTAGGCTAGATACAGATACACAAGTATGCACCCACACAAAACAACAAAGGCATAGCCTAGAGACATGGAAGTTGACTGTCGTGTTTGCCCGGAAAGACCAGGAAAGAGAAGAGAGAGAGAGAGAGAGAAAGAGAGAGCGAGAAAAAGAAAGAGAGAGGTGTAGGTTAGGTACAGAATCACACACGCTGTATACAGATACACGTGTAACTATCCACCCACTCATACAGAAACAAAAAGGCATAGTCATAGCCTATAGACATGTATTTAGATCTGATACTTGCCCAAGACACAGTCAAAAAGACTAGACGAGAGAGAGAAAAGAGAGACAGCGAGAAAAGTGTGGAAGAGGCTTTTTCCGGTTGGGTGGCAAAGAAGTGTACTGTTTGAATTCTGATTCGGCAGAGAGAGAGAGATAGAGCGGGAGAGACAGAGAGCATGTGTGTGACAGAGAGAAATATAGGTTAAATGGTTAGATACAGATACACACACATCTTGCATGCTGTAGTGCACACAGCTTATTCTTATTATGTTGGCTGTGACTGAAGCAGAGAGAGACAGAGACAGAGAGAGAAAGTTAGAGAGCGAGAGAGCCACTAAGCGAACATTAGTATTCGCTACAGATGGCTTCAAGGGATTTTCCCATTGCCTCCTACACTCCATCTCTTTTCCCCCTCTTCCCCGTGTCCCTTCATCCCTCTTTTCTTTCATTCATGTTTTCTGAGCTCAGCCATTCCGCTCAAGTCCGTCTTTACAGCTGAATGGGAATCAAGGAAAGCCTCAGGGTGTGTGTGTGTGTTCTGAGTTGGATTATAGGGACAAAAAGGAGGTGATACATGTATTTTCTCTAGTCTGAATTAATCCACAGCTGTTGTTTGAGATAAACTACAAAGTGAGTGTGTGTGTGCAGTGACACAGTATCATGGACACAGTGTGCTAGAGATGATGAGTGACAGATTATAGATTGAGAAGAAACACATGCACACACACACACACAGAGAGAGAGAGAGAGAGCTGGGGACATGCTAAAGGACAGCGCTACTGCTAAAGGACAACGCTAGAGCTATCGCAGCCAACCCCGAGGCTACGGCTGAGGAAACGAACGCGTACAAGAAGGCCCGCTACGACCTCCGCAGAGCCATCAAACAGGCAAAAGGACAATATCGCAACAAGGTTGAATCCTATTACACCGGCTCTGACGCTCGACACATGTGGCAGGGGCTACAGTACATTACAGACAACAAGGTAAGCCCTAGCTGTGATCTGCCATCTCTACCAGATGAACTCAATGCCTTTTATGCACGCTTCGACAAAAACAACACAGAGTCCTGCATGAGGGCCCCAGCTAATCTGGAGGACTGGGTGATCTCTCTCTCCGAGGCTGACGTGAGTAAGGTTTTTAAATGGGTCAACACTCATAAGGCCGCTGGGCCGGAAGGTATTCCAGGGCAAGTCCTCAGGGCATGGACAGACCAGCTGGCAGGCGTCTTCACTGACATTTTCAACCTCTCCTTGTCCCAGTCTGTAATCCCCAAGTTTCAAGCTGACTACCATCATTCCTATTCCCAAAAGCTCTAAGGCATCCTGCCACAATAACTACCGCCCTGTAGCACTCACATCTGTAATAATGAAGTGCTTTGACAGGCTGATCATGGCCCACATCAACTCCATCATCCCAGACACGCACAACTCCAACTCCATCATCAAGTTTGTTGACGACATGGCCTAATCACCAACGGCGATGAGACAGCCAGGGAGGAGGTCAGAGACCTGGCAGGGTGGTACCAGGACAACAACCTCTCCCTCAACGTCAGCAATGTCGACGTCATCAAGGAGCTGATCGTGGACTTCAGGAAACAGGGGTGGGTACACACCCCCATCGACGGGGACAGGGCCAAGAGCTTCAATTCCTCTTTGTCCACATCACCGAGGACTTAACATGGTCCGCTCATACCAGCACAGTGCCTTCCTCTTCTCCCTCAGGAGGCTGAAACTTTTTGGCATGGACCCTCAGATCCTGCTCAATCGAGAGCATCCTGATTGTTTGTATCTAGGGCTGTAACGGTAACCGTATTACCGCCACACAGGCAGTCACGAGTCATGACCGCAGTCAAATTCCACGTGACCGTTTAGTCACGGTAACTAGGCTTCTCCAAGCTCTCATGCTGCTGATGGTCATTAGTAGCCTAGCAAACTTGCTACCTGCCTGGTACTCAGCACTCGATTGTCCCTCTAATCATCTGACATCAATGCAAATGTAATCAAAAATCAAATCAAACACTTCATGAGAGCCCCTGAGCTCATGTTGCACAACATTTCTATAGGTTGCTTGAGAAATGGGTTGCTTGAGAAAACAGTTTTGATGGCCTCTACTAAAAAGATGAGGCTCCCATCAGCTTTCTATAGGCTAGGCCAACTATATTTATTTCTCAACATTCCTTATATTAAGCACATTGCTTCGCTTTACAACAGGAGTATAGCCTACCTGGCTGGCATGAGCGTCCTCCATTCGCTATTTAAGTGCATAAATGACATGTATTTTTTCCCCAGGTGCATGATAATGGTCCATTCTAAATCAAAACTAATTGAACACATATATATATACATTTTTTATTATTGAATATTAAAACATACAATCTACTTGCAGTGAAGCTGCTCAACATTTACATTTCATTCAGTCATCTAACAGACTCCCATCCAGAGCGACTCACAAAAGCAACCAGGGTCAACGCCCTGCTCAAGGGCACGTCGACAGATCTCCCACAAGGTCAAAAACGGGATCCCGAACCAGCGAACTATCAGCCACCAGCCCAAGCTCCCAACCGCCATGCCACCAGCCCTTCAAGATCCCCCCCCACAGTTCCCCGAGAGCTGCCCCTCAACCATCCAAGTTTGGGAAATATAATTTTCACCATAAAAATGCACCTTTATAATAAAGCATTACATGCATAATCTCATTTGTTGTCACTTTTCAGAATGGTGTTTTCCCGCTAATTGATTGCATTTTGGAACATTTGCACTTATAGGCTACTGCTGTGTGCGCATTGCTGCGCTTATAATGTGAAGAAATAGGCTAATAGTTTATCAACATGTTAAGCTAAACATTCTGATCTGTTGCATCAGCCTCATTGCTATGAAATGGGTTTTTTTATGCGAGTGGTTGGATTAATTTGGGATCTATCACATCCCACAACTGTCCCAGACTATGTTTGGAGTATTTATTTCTCACACAGAAGGACAAGTTGACCAACAGAATAGGTCAACGTTTGTACTATGGGGGATAGCAGATTGACATAGGATAGTGCTTTTGCTGTTCGTAAGGCCTACTCATCTTGTTGGCTGACGAAAAGTAAATGTGGACAGTTCTTCTAACATCTTCAATTTGCCCCTCGGAATTCGATAAGAAGGACGCGCAGTTGAGTCCCCGATGTGTCTGTCTTCACTTGCAGCCTACTTCAGAGCTGAGATAGATGCCTGTAAGAAGAATGTGACGGGCATTGGCTAATAAGAACTGCGATATCTGAGAGAGCCATGTGAGTGAGAGGTGCTTCGGAACAAGCAGCCGTGAGAAAGGAT